ATATATATATATATATATATATATATTTCAATTTGCTTAATTCCTGCCTCCCTCCCTCTCTTCTGCCACCCCCACCCCTCTCTCTACCTCTCACATTTCTCTCTTGTGTGTTTATGTACAACTGCTAAAATGGGTTTTATAATGCACGAACACCCGTTAATAATGACAGCTACTACTGTGAACACGACGTATCTTTATTCCTTTTATATCATTTTTCCAATTTACTAATAGCGGCATTGTGGTTTTCCAGTAGGTGTGATTTTACCTTGTGTCTGAGCTTTATATGCCTACAGATGAGCTGGGATAATCGGATGGATTAGGCCAAGCTCACTGACCGAAGTGTGTAATGCGGTGTAGCACCTTGGTGATCCCTCCTGGTCCCATTCATTTAAGGGCGTTTGGTTTATTTTCGATTTGGGCTCGTTCAGTGCTGAGCCCGGTCTGTTACTCCCCGTGTTACTGAAGTAGCCCTCCGCGGGGTCTGTGGCACTAGCTTATTCATAACCAATTCTTTCCTCCCATGGAAACTGATCTATCCATTTGGGTGTAGTTTCTTTTCTGAAGTGCCACTAGAAACGGCCTTTCTCACTAGCGTAGCACCCAAATTACCTATGAAGACGTAACGTATGCCCAGGGCCCAGCACTCTTATTCTTCCGATGTCGGGTTTGTTTGTTCGGGTGGTAGGTAACCAGGCAAACATTTTCTAACCCTGCTTCTGCTGGTAACTGTCTGTTCTTGGGCTCACCAAAGATAGAAATTTGGGCCAGGTCATTGCCATTGACCAGTACCGAGTGCTTGAAAGATGCATGCTATGTTTAGCCAACAACGAAAGTCGCTGCTGGATTAATCATTTTATATCTCTACAGCCGTGGAGCGTATTTATCCTAGACAATGACGTTTATTTCCTTCGTTATTATTGAATAGCTTATTGTCATCTACTTACGTAGTACTCATGTAGCGGTCTGTTAGCCCTATCACCTCCCTCAGTCGCATTTGCTGTCTGTTTTTTACGCTTCATTCCACGAAAGTTTCCGCGCTTGTCCGGCTAAAATGTTCCGACCCATCATAGTGATTTTGACATAAACTCATTCCGATCGGTATTTCATACTCTGCCAGAAATTCTTGCCTCATTCCTATCTGGGTCCTCTTTATACACTGACATAGTTAGACAGTAAATTTATCTGAAGACTTCTTCATTTGTTTTGTAGTGTCTAAATAGTCCTGTTGAAAGCATATTCCGTTGTCTTAGTGATGGATCCTTGGAAGATTTAATGAGCCCATACGGTGTTGTGTTATGTCGTTCCTCAACACTAGCAAATGATTGAAATCTATTTCACTATCCACTGCCGTAATAAACCTTTAAGGTGTTCATTTCTGTGATGTTATTTCTCGACCCATGGGGTTCTAGCTGCCCTTCACGAACGCTATAAGACACGGGAATCTGGAGATGGCTAAATTGCAAGTACACATAAGAACCGAGAGACTTTTAGGGGTGATACGACCAGGCTACCACCAAATCATGAGCCACCGTAGAGTTCCTTTATAAAATCCATCCAACTTTTTGCTGCCTTATAAATATATTTTTGTGGTAGAGTTATGCGATCACGTGGGTGGAGTCTCTGTTCCGTGAGGCATGGTCTCCATTACCCCTTTTCAACGATGCTGCTTTAAAGCACAGCCTTAGTTTTACGCCTCATCTGTTTGGCATTTTTCCCCTGAACACGTTCTCTACGCACTGCTGTTGTTGTTCGAAACGCTCATGAATATGTTACAGGGCGTATTAATCTAGAGGTGGTTTTTCCTTACCATGTATAAACTCTGAAGCCTACTAGATTGAATCGGATGTGCAGAACGAATTACGGAGTCATTTTGGAGGCGAGTTGGTTTTGTTTAAGGCCATAGGCAAAGATATAACAGGAGCAACATTCTCTCGGTACCATTACCCTGATGCGATTGTTGAAATATCTCAAGCCTTAGCATCATTTGACATGACTATAGTCTCTGTACCATGTGCCATAGTTTGCAATGCTTGGCCATGGTAGCGTTCGTCAGCATTCTGCGAATATTACACACCTAGAAGAGCTATGGTCCACCAGAACGGCTGGAACACCCATTCCCCCTAGCCACTCACTGATACCTGCCGCTAAAAATGACATACTTATGCAACCGCATATTAGTGCATTGCTTAATACACCTCTTCCCTCCATTTTATGAGATTTTTGTAGCGAAATCCTTTAGTCAGTGTTTAAGCGCATACATTTTAAAAGACAAAGCTATTTGATCCGTTCTGCTTCTCTTATTCACGTTTCCCCCCTTTCCGTTTGTAAAGGGGTGCCACAGAAGAAGAAGTGGAAGGCGCTGTATGCATCACTGGACAGGGAGCAGAGCATTATCACTCTTACCGATGGTGACAAACGCAAGCCCGAGCGGATTGATCTCTCGCGCTGTGATTTCTTCCCTGTCCACCCGCTGATGTTCGAGTGAGTACTTGCGGAGTACTTCCTTTATGTGCACATTCAAGAGATGAGTGGAGAGGCAGCGTAGCAAAGCGGGCACAATTCCTCAGACGCGGTGCGAATGGAAGGCTCCGTCACTCGTCATGCTTATTGTGCGCTTACAATGGTCCGGTAATCGGGGTCAATATCATTTGCCAACGGAGGTTGCAGCGTACAACTGTCATCAGATCTGAAGACCTGGCACCGTCTCCCGCCACGAGGATCGTGGAATAATCTAGTTATTCGACTGGACATAATTAAACTGAAAGCTTAGTAGAAAGGAAGAATGGGATTTGAGTAAAACTCAGAGGATATATCTTATTTTAAATAAATCTTAGAACTGTAGCGATGTGACTTAAGTCTCCCCTACGTGATGCAGCCTTACCGTGTAATATTCGTTCCTGTCTCGTTGTCGATTTAGATTTAGCTGAGTGCTTCATGGATGCCCGACACAGAAGAGACATTACAAAGAACAATGCGTACATTCTAGGTAGGACGAGAAGTATGCAGCAGCATAATGTTTGCTACACCTCCAAGACGTTTAGTCTCTCATGCTTTGGTCCTCACCGCGGTGGCCTGCTGTCCGTATTCTTAGCGGAACCACTTCTAAATTTGCTTTCCTTGGGCTCTCCACAGACTTAGCGTACATTCCGGTTCAATACTGAAATGGCGTCAAGAGAGATAATAAATCCTTTCAAATCATTCCCATCCAAGTAGTATTCCCTCTACGATTCCAGCAAGCAGCACTGCTTCGGCCTTCTTCTCTCCTCCACGGGTGAACGCGAAGACTACGTGTTTGCAGTCGAGCCGCCCTACTCTTACAACAATCCTCAGATGGCCACTTCTGGAGGCGGTGGTAATGGTGTAGGCGGCTCAGTGAACAGTCTTTTCGCCTCCGTGTCTACCCCCTCGGCGTCTCTGAGATTTCAACACAGTGTAGGCGGTGCACCCGCATCCACCACCGCTACTGCCGCTGTTAACAATAACAACGGCAACATCGTCAACAACAACAGCAGTGGTAGTGGCAACAGCAACAATGGAGGTCCTCCCGCTGGTGCTGTTGCTGCCTTGGATTTGGACCCTCAAGCCTATGCGGGTCGATCCGATACCTCGGGCAATGTGGATCTTGCTACAGGTGAGTCTCGGGCTCCTGAATCATGCCAACTGCAATTCTGCAGAGCTTAAGATATTTAATAGCTCATTTTAGCATATAATTTCACTAGATTTGATCGGGTTACTTCCCCTTAGGCATAGATTGGTTCGAGTAACTACATGTTTCCTATTACCTTACTTTGGTAGGGCTATCAAAGCTGCTGCTTACCTTTTTATTGTTATCTTCCGACATCTTTTGTCAAGGACTTTTAGGTACAGCGACTGCGATGTTAATTCGTATCTAAAAGGGGTAATTTGTCGTTTGATGTGTATCCGGACAGTTAATGGTTGAGATCTCTTCCGAGATAGTCTGGAAATCCTCGGATTTCTCCCCCCGATTGATAAGCAATTCATGGGTCCGGTGATCACCTAGCTTCTACCTATCAGCCTGCCGCTGTTATTCATAAATACAGCCTTGTCTATTCCTTCGCTGTGCTTAGCAGTCATGGTGCTTTCTTTTCTTTTCTCGCGTAGTCCCTTGGCCCTCAGACGAGTAGTTTTGCTCCGCTTACAGCATACAACGAAATTCTGCCTTCATGCTTCAAATGGCACGTGAGGCTTGAGACGCATTCATCGTATATTCATACCTTAGTCGTGTACATTTGCAAGGAATGGAAACTTGGATACAAAATTCCTGGAATCCATTTCACTACCAGCTGCTAGTTTCGTCTTGAGTATGCAAATTAAGCCTCGTCTCTCTCTTTAGGCCCTTTTAAATGCATGAAACGTTTTAAAGGCTGTTGGTTCTGGTGACAAGCTGTCCTATTCCATCAGCATGTAGTGCGGGTCTCGGGCATTCTTGCCCAGCAAGTTAGACTAAATGGCATCCCTATGCAATACTCTCTTGTCAATTAAACCCAATTCAATGTCGTGCTCGAAAAGCCTCTTTTCGCCCCTGTTACTACCAAAAGGGACACTGGAGTCCCCTAATCTAGATGGGTGGCAAAGCACAAGCCCTTATTGCTGCGACAAATCTAAAGCTCGAACGCAATACCGTGTGCATGTGTGGGGCTTTTATTCAAGTCCTCTTTAGCGTCCATTCGGTTATTTTCCATTCCTTGTTTTTTGTTTTCCCGTGTATACAAATTCGCACTTTGGATGTAAAGGTAAATGTTAATGATCTATGGAGGTCAAGTTTGTTTCTTAGCATTATCAATCCAACACTTATGTTTTGTTTGTCGGTTGGAGATTTATAAAGACGGCACTAGAAGTTCGTAAATCGTATTTTCCACTGCAGTGAATGTTGCATGGTGCTGAATGGAGGGATTGTCAGATCAGACGTTTGTTCCAGTCAAGTGATCCGACATGTTTGTACGGTTTTTCGGGTATATCGTTGCGATGCCTCTCCGCCACATTTGCTCTAGTTTTATGTTGTAAAAGTGTAAAAAGCTCCCTCGAAAATTCTGTTTCTTGGAATAATCACTATTACTTTCTGTAAATCCTGCGCTTATACAATGTTTGGTCCCCAGAGGCCTATCAAAACCCTACTCAGACTAACTCAATTCCTATCTTTATTTTTCCATTGTCTATTTCGCTAGGAAAGGGTGTGTGAAATGTGAAGGCATGAGACCTATTCCTGGCCACTTCTCAGGAACCTTTTTTATTTCACACCGAGCAGTATCCCATCAAGTGGACAGATCTCAGCCGTAAATGCCCTTTTGGTTTTCAGTGAGCATAGTTTTTTTGAGTATGGGTGGATCGTTTGGGGATACTTATTCATACATAATAAAAAACACAAACGTTGAAACATAAAAGCTCAAAAGCAGGCCCTCACCACAAGGCATTCAGTAATTCGATTGGCAAACAATCTTTCCACAATGGAGAGTGGGATTGCAAATTATTAGTCTTTCAAACTTAGACACCGGGTGTTTATGCATTGCGTGCTAGCGAGACCTCCTTGTTTTTTTTTGTTGATATGGGAGTAAGTCAATTTTGTTTCATCATTGCCGGAAGTTATTCGTGACCCCTTGATCTTCTGTTCTCAAAAGTAAATGGTCTACCCTAACGTTGTGCACTTGTCTTTTAGTTTTTTGTCAACACAATCGAACTAAATCACATCTGATCTATGCCAAGCTACCACAGCTATGCAGCAGCTTCACTTAGAGACTAGCTTCTGCAGCTTAGGAACAGAGTTGAGCGCAGACAAGATGGCAACACATAAACTAGGTTCACTCACTTGAAATTTGGTGACATGAGCGCAGATTCTAAATTGTGGAGGAGAGCAGGACAGCGTATAAAAGAGCGCTCGACCGGGACACCGACGCACTTTTGTGCATCCGTGTAAATAATCGCATGCATCGCCCAAGCACTTAAAAGCTACAAAGTCCTTGCTGTGGTACGTATTTAAAATCACCCTTTTCGAAAACTAGAACGAAATACCTTCATTCTTGGCCTGATCGTAGAATATTTTTCTTCCAAATATACCCTTATTTCGATGAAAACTTGTTTGTGTAGGTAAACGTGTACCTTCCTCGATGCCAGTAATTTCATAAGATCGGATTCTCTGGGTGCCCAATTTCTCCTTGCAAATTGGGTATTAAGATGGAAATGGTATCTAGGACAAAAATAGTGTTCCATTTCTGTTCGCAAATTAGTATGGCAACTATCCTGCGAACTTATTTCCACAAGTCAATGGAACAGCCACGACTGCTACCATTGTGCCTCAAGCGGAGCGTATAAGTTGAATAATTTATAGCTGCTGCGGAGCCACAATTTTAATTGGCTCAGATTTGGGGAAAATATGGAACCTGTTCGTGTGTAGGTAAGTATGCATTTTCGCTCTCCACCATCCATCACGTAATTGGAGCGAGCACGAACTTGGCAGTTGCCAGCAAACATTGCATATCATTCGGGGAAAGTTACCCCCTCTACGTAGGCCTAGTAGCTTGAAGTTTGTACTCTTACACGTTCTTAATTAGGCAGTCTAAATGCTGAGCTACCCCCGATTCCAGCCTTTAACTCCGAATTCGAACCTATGCCAGATAAACATATGCATTTAATGTCCTCCAATGTTCCCCCTAAATACCTGCCTGCCGGACTATAATCTCACTTTGGTTGATCCGGATCTCGTGAGTCAGGAGTTGGAGGTAAGAACTTGCTCGTGCCAGATAATCCTAATTTTGTCCCAGATGAGCTGCATGGCCTGAAAGTCTTGAACTTCTTCACGCATTCTCGATCACTGGCGCCCAAAATTGCAAGCAAAACTATTATCAGCCAATGAACAGCTTTAATCTATTTGATTGTTTACTACAACTACTCTGTTTGACAGTTTGGTGCAACCATTTGTTCTGAACTGATGAAGACACGTCAAACACTCATGACTGTGGATTCAAGTGAAATTGCCTCTAGTGACGGTATTAATCAGTGTCTGATTGCTCCGACTCAACTGATTTGTCCTAGAACAATCGGGATTATGTACTTAACTCCATTTTGATCAAACTTTTTTTCCTAATTGAAACCAAATAACCTGGCATCTTTAACCATTTGATTGTCTAGGTTTGCCACGATTCTGTGATTTTGGGGAGACTACAGGTTCCACGTGGTCTAAGATCCTCGCCTCTACGGGTGGCGGTGTTGCCAGTGGGGCAGGCGGCAGTGGCGGTGTTGGCGGTACCGCGGGCGGTCCCGCACTTATTGATTTAGCCTATATGCGGTGGCTGAAGGCCCTTGCCGCGCATTGTCGCAACACCCGTGGTGAGTCGGCAGTCGATGCGGATCCTGAACGACGGCGAAGCGAGGTTAGGTGCTTTAGGACCCTCGAAGTAAAGGTAGGTGGTTATTTCTTTTCTCCCCCCTTCCTCCTTTTGCATCTCCCCTTCGTTTAGGCGTTTTTGATGACCTTTCCCTAGTTGGCAAATGCCAAACTGCTTCCGATGCCACCGTCGGGGAGGCGTGAGGGAGGCGGAGTTTACTCGGTTACGGTGGATGGATTGGAGATTGCGCGTGCCTACAGTGGAGCCACTAACCAGACAATCACCTTTGAGTGAGTTCTCCGACCTCTCGTTTGTATTCAATAAGTTTCTGGAGGACACATGGTTCTTTGTTTACTACTCGGATGAACAGACTCAATTTTGTTTGCAACCCATACATTTCTGATTCCAAATCAACGACCTGATTAGATTGAGACCATTCCAGATTATTGGTTCGTCTTGTATCTCAGCCATTTATCCACCTTTTGCCGCGGTGAAGGTAGAAAAATGGCCATTACCTGTACTTGAGTCTGTCATTTGACTACTTCAGGTCTGGCAACCGGTTACCATTTACGTGGGGCGAGGATGACTGTAATACTTTATCACGCTTGAGATATTATGGACAGATGTTTGTGTATCAAAAGCGCGATTTCATTTCCAGCAGTATGTGCTTCGGGCATCCAGATGGTGACGAATCTCTTCTTAGACGAGTTGTAAAAATAAAGGAATAGCTTTTAAGGTGGCTGTATAAAGTTGGAGTGTGAGTGCTAGAACCCTCTATGTCTCTTGAATCATGGAAACCTCAAGATCTAATAAAGTGGTTGTCCATGTTACCGAAGTGCTTGCCCTCTAAATAGTATCGCAAAGGCAAGAGGTGTAGTTTGTTTTGAGCTTGTTTGAACAGGAAAATTTCGTCTGACATTAGTTTCTCCTTTGTTTCATCGCTTTTAGTATACGTTCCTCGTTTAAAGAACGAACCTTAGGCCATTGTGTTTCCTCTTTTCAGTGCCAAACTTCGTTGTTATTGTGGTTAACTAGAATCTCAGTGTGCGCGGATAAAGTGCATTCTCGTGACTCTTAATGGTATATTATTGGTTGTCAATGTGTCAGAGCGCCGTCACGCAACTATAAGGTTTTCTTGCTCACTGTTCAACCCTTTCATTTTGTCCAATGAAAAATGACTTTACGGGCATTGACGGTGATTGCATGTACTTCTAGCGCGTATCCGCAGTGGTATTTATCCCCCCTTGCCCTCTCTAAGCCTGCGTGTGAATTACGGCGCTACGGTAACAATCACGGTTGTGTTGCGCTGCATTGCCTTGCCTTGCGTTGCATTTTGCCCCAAGGGCGGGAGCGGTACTGCATCGTTACAAAGTTCCTCTTTTCGGCGACCGACGGATTTTGTTACATCTTCACTTCTTCATTCCAATGTGAGGGGAGGGTTGCATATATGTTTTCCTAAGTGTAGGAGATAGGTGGTTTTCTGTCCGAAGAAAAGGGAAATAATTCGGCCTCATGTTTTCCTTTGTCTGTCCAATACGGTTTTTATGCTACGTCAGAGTTGTTTTTTTATCGACGGACAGATGTAGAAGTCCAGGTATTTCCGCTGGGCAGCCCTCAAGTTGATTTTGACAAAATTGTGACTTCTTTGGGGTCAAATAATTTGAAATTGTATTCAAGGCTGGAACGAAGATCGTGCGATGGGTCGGGTCAACCGCGAGATCTTTAATCCACCTAGATGTAGTAAGAAACCAACCTGGTTGATCAGCGTGTAGAAGGGTTAGAGGGACCTTTAGAAGGCTCCCTACCACAATTTAAAATTTCCGACAGAAGACACTCAAAAGCACAGTGAGTTCTATTTGGTGGGAAATCTTCTAGAAATTCAGTTGGTTCTATACCCCTTTTACCATATTTACCCGAGGCTTGGAGCTCTCTAATGTATCCAGCCTTAACTCCCACTAGGCACGAGATGGCTTTAACAGATGCGGACGCTTTGGAACATTTGCCTTTCTAATTAGAACTCAAATTAACTTGCCTTTTTAATTGACTTCAAGGAGCTGAAAGTGTGGTCTTTTTCTCCACTTGGTGGAGGCAATCTCGGTTGTTTAAGCGGTCATCTTTTTTTTTTTACAGAGAATTCCCCTACGGATACAAGAAGGTTGAGGTGACATACCGTGAGGATAAAAGAAAACGACAACGTAAGTATTCCAGTCCTAGAATACAGGAGTAAATCTGTTAACTTCCATTTCCTCATATGTCACTTCCTCCTCCCAGGCCCCTATCTTTGTTTCCTCCAAACTATCCTGTGCATGTAAAAGCTTTTGCTGCTCCCTTTTGCAGTGGGGATATTAACCTTTTTCTTATTATGGTCAACATTACAATGAGTTTCGTTTTGTGCAGAAGGCCTGTTCTTTTTGTGCTGTCGTACAGGTAGGCGTTGCTATGCTTATGTTCCCTTCCGTGCGCATTTCTGTAAGCTGTGAAATGTTTGGAATTCTCCTCTTCACCTCATCCATAGATAAGTCCCTTTGTTTAAAACCTTCGCCTCGTAAGTTTATTCCCTTTCTCGTGAGAAAGGCTATTTCCCACGGCTATGCCATAACCGTGTGAAATTTTTATTGCTGTAAAACCGAGGCTCTAGAAAACCCCTCCCTTTCCACATAGGTTGAAGGTAGTTGTGAAGTAGCTTTCCATTGTGGATGGAGGAAGGGCTCATTATGCGCAATTCATCTCAGTTTCATGTTCTGGTTATGCTTGTCATAAGAAGGGCGCTAGCGTTTTACCCTGCAAAATACTGCCTTCTGATGTCTCATTTTGTGAAGGTGAACACAATTTTATTCTTTTCTTGCTGGACTTGAACCAGTAAGTTGGCGTATTTCTTCGAATGCCGTCCGCATTGTAGAGGGTCTTCACTGTGATGAATTGCAACTATTGACAGCTCCAAGCTTCCAATCGAGACATTTTCTAGCTCTTAGTCGCACAGGAAGAAGGTAGAGCTAGTCTTCACTTGGCTGAATGTTACTACGTTTGGTTTCACTGATGCAATCTGGAAATTTTTCATGTCTTAGGTATTTTGAACATTCCATTTTGATTATTTTATCTTCATTTATACCTCACATTAAACATTTCCCAAGTAGGTTCGACACTAGATCTTTGTGGATCCCACTGGCATCTCAGGGAACTTTTGTATCCCGTCACATTGAGTTGAAACTCAATTATATAGGAAGCACTCGTTTTTCCCTTTTCCAAAAGTGGATCAGGCCTCTGGCTCCAAGCAACCCCATTGTAAACGCCTTCATGACTCCATCACGCCACCGTATACTGGCTCCGTTTTCCTCATGTTGATTTGCATCTCATTCACCGATCGCAGCTGTATTCACCTACTTTCTGGCCGGAAATGTCGTAATTTCCGTGTGAACTTTGAAAGATTAATTTAACCCCACGAGGAACTTCCTCGCGCATAAAATTTAGTTTATTTACGATCTTACTATAAGCATTCTCGATTTCGATCACTAATTATTTAGGAGAATAATTTAATATAAAGCATGTTTAACCGTTCCCCACTTTTGCTCCTTGTGCAACCAGCGGTGGTGTTGGCCGAGCTGCAGCTAATGGCACGAAGACAGAGTACTCTGGTGAACAGCACCAGTAACGTTTCACAGCCCCTCTCACTGGGCAGTCCGCTTGGTCTCGAGGTGGCTCTTATGCCTGGGCGGGTTCGGGCCAGCGCTGCGAACCCCTCGGAGGGTTAGGGCAGTCCCTTCCATCTCAGCCATCGACATCACAACAACAGCAGCAGGCTTCACAGCCTAAAGTGACTCTGTCCTCTACGCCCACGCCGATATGCTGCTTTCTGGAGTCTGTCTCGCCACAGGCAACACTTATCTACAGGGAGCTCTACGTTCTCCCTTTCCAGTGCTATGACAAACTACGAAAAGTTAGTTATTTTTTGTTTTTAATTGCTTTTGGATCGGGTCTAGAACAACATCGCATCGTAAAAGTGTGTTCGGACATAAAAAGATGTCCGTTTGTATTTGTCCGTATCCCGGGTTTTGGTTTATGGCATGTAACTCGGCACACGACCACAAGGGTGTACTTTAAGTGGACCAAAAATGACCCACGGAATGTGGCATTTGCGTCGTACAAATAATTCGGCATTTGAAGTTCCTCAAATTCCCATAGTTTCCTAATCTGTTTGTACGGGTAATCCTGAGGCCCCAATGGGGGCATATTGGGAAACCTACACGATCTGTGTGAAATGCTGCGTACTTCAAAACGGATCAAGAATAGTAACATCGTTTTGTTGTTTAATAATTTACTGCTAGTGTATTTTGGCCAAATCTCATAGGATTTTGTACGTCTTGATCCGTAAACGGTCTTTTTGCTCCGAGAGAGTAAATTACCCATTTGGATTTCGATATTTCCATCCATATGCCTATTCGGTATTACTTAACTGAAGGTAAGAAGAAGTGCTCATCATGGAGGTAAAAAAGACAAGCAAAACGGTCATTTTTTGCAGTAACCGGGGGGTGGTTTGGATTTGCCACGACCTTTAATTGGGTTAACTCCTTCTGGAATAACTGGATACGAGAGATCCCCAATGAGTAAATAGTTATTAACCAATGAACGGTATTCGTCGAAACTGGATGATTGCAGCGAAATAAGCGATAATTTACAGCCTATAACCCCTCTCCACCGAGATACGGGATAGCTGCGAATCCCCCACATTGACTCTCATATCCCTATTGCCTGTTTCAATTCTTCTGTTTGGAAAGTATGGGGGAGGTACAAAGAATGAGGGCGAGGTGGTAACTCAATCATCGAGCCTTCGTGAGGCCTACTTTGCCAGCTCAGAAGATGGGGCTTTCTTCCGACGGATCGAGTAGTCCTGGCTGTTTGTATGAGGTGTCGGGTTGAGTTTGGATTGCAGTCGTAATTGTTGGTTGGACTCTCGAGAGTGAATAAGTACTAATGAGCCGTTGGATCTGCGATCAAATGCAGCCTTCCAAGGGCGAAGTACTTGCACACCTTAAGTGTGTGCGGTTAATAGTGAGTTGATCGTTTAATTACGCTCAACAAATGTTTAGGTACAAAAGCTATTTCCTACAAGTCAACTAGTCAGCAGACAATCCCTTTCAAAAAGTATATGAGAGGAGGGAAGGGAAAATTAATTCCCTTAGAATCCTATTGACATCTGGATGTGGGTAGGATCCATTGCTCAATTTGTATGACCTTTTTTTCTCATTTTTGATTTTAATCACTACTGAAAGTTCTCTGTTCTTGTAAAGGATAGTGGACCTTACCCAAAGCGATGCATCTGTCTCTTTGTGCTTTATCACCACATCTTTGAATAATGTGTAACATATTTGGCGACAGGCTAGCTTTTGAACTCTGGAACGCAGTTGAGCCAGTTTCGTTAGGCAAACTAGAACTGTATCCGTCAGGTTTCCACGATGGAAATTTGATGTAAGGGTAGAATCAAGATAGGAAAAAATTGTGTGGGAACAAATCACAACAAATTGTTTCATCGACCTTGAGTGAAAACCGTGCCAACCTTTTTGGTCGCCTGAAACGTTAGTAGCTAAGGTCTCGCTTAATTGTGTATGCTTATTATTCCCTGTGACTCACTTTCATCTTGGGACAAATCTACTCTTCTATGCACTGTATTAATGTTACTCAGGTCCTAGTGGTACGCATTTTGTCCAAAGTAGACCACTAACTGTCTCCTGAAAGTTGTGTTCTGTAAATGGAGAGTTGAACATGCTGTCACCTAGTTATGGTTGTGCTCCTGTGCTCTTATCAGGCGTGTGGGATCTTTTGCAAGGCATCTCAAATCATTTTTGTTGACAGATTCAGGGGAGGAGACTAGCCACAGTGGGAAGTGCTCGAGCTGCGATCTGGCAGGCATTTCTCAAATCTCGTTTAGACTGTTGTAGAACAAATTCACCTAACTACGTACTTTATAGGTAGCTGGGATCCCTATTTTCGGTAAATATGAACAATGCACTGCTAACTGCGGTCTTTGTGGTGATAATTAGGTTAATAGTTGCCATGGTTCAAAAGCTGGTTACGATGTGGATCTCTGGGGTATGTACTTCTTCACTATGTTGGAAGGTATTTGTTCTCTTTTCCGCCTTGTAAATTCTTTAAGAGTACCCTACTCACCTCCGGGTATAGGTCATAACCCAAGTTTTTTATTTTGCTATCCGGAAAGCTATGCTGTTCCAACCCTGATTTCGTGCGTTTACCATTCACTCTGTCATGTTGATATACTTTAATCGTTCTTAGCACGAGTGGGACCAGTCTCGATTTCTTGTTCCAATCGAACGCACTTATTGTCCACGTCAAGTCATTTCCAAATACCTGTTACACTCCGACATACCTCGTGGTGCTTGAAATGCTGATCTTCATGATTGGGGCTTATGGAATGAGTCAAATTGGTGTCAGATCTTGGTCATAATTTTCATTTCCTGTTGCTACTTAGATGTTTTGTGAGTTCTGTTAATATCACACAAACTTTCGTTATTGAGTGTACTTTTTAAGCCCGTGTACAAGATTTATTATCCGCATACAGGAGGGTCGAGAAGTTCTTGACGTGGCCTTCAAAGTGGTAGTACACAAACAGTGGTTCCACGTATAGTTTAAACAAGTTACCTTCTGATACAGTTGAACCCACGCCATTTGTCGGTGTGCGTGAGCAGGATAAAGTAGCTTTACAAGGTCTCCTGATCACTTATCTTTTTATCTCTTTGGTCTTTAATTTCCAACCGATTTGGCCAATTGCCTACGTCCAACAAACACGCATTGGTCAGAGGAAAGGTATTCTACTTTTGCAGCTTATTTGGTCTAATAGAAGTCTACCACTCTCCTCCTCATTCGTGGGGTGTCACCGGTATAACCGCAGCAGTCTTTTACTACGGGGGGAGCAAAAAGAGCTTCATCGTCGTGTCACGCATGATGGCTTCACTTGAAGGTCTTACCTGAGGTCGATCCAGCTTCGCACTACTGCTACTATTTTCCCTATCATGCAGTAGCGCAATTAGTTGGTGTTTAAAAAAGGAAGGCAAGCCTTGACATCGCCTCCCTCTTTACTAGGTGATCACCTCACATCTGGAAACAGAGCTTGTCCCAGCATGTACGTATATGTGGGATGTTTTGGCCAGTGATCAGAGCAACTTCCAATCAAGTCTTCTACTTGCCTGCATTGAATCGAAGCGCCACCTCGAGTTAATTGTCAATCTTCTCAAGGCAATCATCCCTGCCGACAAACCAGGTATGTCCCCGCCTGAGTGTTTGCTAGACAGACGGTGATGAACTAGCTAATCTTTTGTTCTACACCTCCCCACAGCCGGTGCCTTCCGGTCTAACGCACTGGGGCAGTTAATCATGGACCAGTACATGAATATGGTCTGTTCTGAATGGCGACAAAAATGCTTCCGCCGAGTCTTCAATGAGATCGCGAAGGGGGCGCCCAGCACTATTGGAGGCGCCGGTACGACCAGTGTCTTAGCCTCCCCGCTGACAACTGTCACCTTCACTGCCTGCACGTCCAGCACTAGCACCACCTCCCGAGTCGTCAGATTCTCCTCGGGTGGAGAAAAATCGATCTTAGAGGCTGGAGAAGCCTCTTCTTCGTCGGGATCGGGCTCCTGTAATCCCCCTTCTAGCAGTGGCGGTGGTACGCATTCCCACTTGCCATATTTATGAATATTTACTCATCGAGCCAGGGCAGTTGGCCCGATCTCACATTCCCAGTAGAGCTCTTGATTCATTTACGATGTTCTTTTACCTTCAAAGATGCTTATTTTTGGTGTCAGCTAGTTATCATTAGAAATTGATAGTAGGTGTGTAACTGTGGCACCGATCGGTAAGCGTAAAACGTATTTTAATAGTTTTCGCTCCTTAATTTGCAATGAAAGTCGGAGCTTACGTTCCTAATGAGGCGATGTCAGGCACACAAATCCATCACCAATGGTTAATTACCTGTCTTTATTTGGCATTCCTTAGTCTCTGAAATGGAATTGCGCTCCCTAGCTTCATTCCTTTTACTATCTTTCATTGGTAATCCCATTTAAAAGTATGGAAGTTAATGATATTTAATATTCTGATTATGTTGCTGAGAAACGAACGCCTTTCCGGCCACTGTAATGCGATAACAACAGTGACCTTCCGTTCTCAAGTGTATCGGTTGTTCTTTCACATCGTAATAAGCTAATTTTTTTTCAATTTTTCCTAGAGTTTCAATGCTGGGGTGTATAAGTGTGTCAATGGTAGACAGCTATGAGGATGGGGTGTATTCGATGGATGTCAGTTATGCCATTACGACGTCAGGTAGTGCCCTGGTGACGCGTCCAGTGTCATATCACTGGGGTGGAGGAATTAGTATACCCCGTGCATAAACGTATAGCCGAATGCATTTGTTCGTTTCCAGTCCCAGAAATGCGGCGGTTGTTGCTCATTTGCATGTGCAGACATTTTTTCCTCATAGAAAGGTGATATCAGATGCATAAATGTGTCACATATATTTTAACCCATTATCAAATGTACATTAGGCGTCAGTTTTTTTGTCAACGATAACTTTGCATAGATCCACTCATTCACCTCTGCCCATCGGATATGAGTAGTCCTTCTCTCCCCCTTCTCAGCTCACATGCGTTGGGTTGATGCGCTATTTTCATTGATGAATAGCATCCGATCTCCCTACCAGAGGAAGATCAGTGGTAGGGACCGCAGTCTCAACACTTCGTTCCCGAATGAATAACCAACGTTTTCTGCATTTCAGTACTTCATGTCATGTCAAACGAAGGTATCTAAGTTACCTTATAACCGCTCTGCTAACTGCTGCATTCTCTCTTATGGCACTCCAGTAACACGCTCTTGTATGTAAACAAAGGCATCTAATGGATGGTTGTGGAGGTGAAGTTTGAATCGGAAGAGTGATTCCTTAGGGGCATTGGAAAAGTTTATTTCTTCGAGGAGCACACAGATCTGGTTAACGACTAAATTGGGTGTTGTTGGTCATCCCTTGAGCTAACTGTCGAAATTTTTCGTTCCTCCTCTCTTCTCCGTTCTCCCCGAACGCGTCATTTTTGTTTCTGCAACCCCTGTGGCGGTCACGTGTAGAGGTTACCAAACCTGTTTTTTTGGGACTCTGACACAGGCTAGGCACGTTTTTGCGTTTCGTTTGTAGCAAACTAGGGCGAAAAGAGAAAAAAGTACAGTAAAATTTAAGCCCTGAACTCGAATTCCCATTGGTGATTTAAACGGGTGTGTTCGTGCCAAGCATGGATGGATGGATAGCTAGCGAATTCTCCTGTCCCGCTGTTGATTGGCATATGGGGGAAAAACAGTACGTAAACGAGACTGCGGTCGTGGTTATGGAGGAGAGACAGCTGGCGAGCGAGTGAGCGCGCGTTTTTATTGTCAGGAGGTTTTTTCAGGCATGCATACCTTGACGACATCCTCCTTCGTATACACACCCGCACTTGCTGTTGGTAATTTGGAACTAGGACCTTCATTCTTGCTGTGCTCCAATCGGTAATGATTCAATCAGTTACAGGCGTTGAGTCCATGATGCTGCAGCACTCGAATTACCTCTTAGGGTGTTATGGGGTAGGCCAATTTGCGGGTAGCAACGTTCCATAACATCGTGCCAGGAGTAATTTCATCCATATTTACAGCTTCATTAGTCATTATTTGCTTCAGGCAACGTCTCTAAGGTCAAATATAATGAGAGTGGAAAGTCTATCTATTTGTGCGATGTCATTCGTCGTCACAACGGAATTTGATTAAGGAAAGGCCGATCAACGGAAGATTTTCGAATTACGTCAAGAAGGCAGTGACACACCTCAAAAATTTTGGTGGAGTTGATCTCTCATGTTCCCTATTGGCAGCGTCTGTCGAATAGAAGTGTTGTTTACCACGTTCGTTACTTGCGTCACGTATATGTGACCCCCCGATATCCTTATCTGACCTGCGCATCACAAAAATCTCACACGTTTCCTTTCTCAGTTTTTGTTAGCTTTCAGTAGCAGACTGTGGTTAAAAGGATAAAACAAATGTAGAATATTCTTGGTTCAGCCCAAATTAATGGCAATTGACGTCATTTTAGAACAAAAGAACGTCTGGGTCGGCTTGGCCGATTCTCCCCTGGGACCCTTGTAGCGGATCTTGCTGGTTATCAACAATTGTTTTTTATTTCAGCTGAGTATCAATTGGGTTGGCTCGATATTTGTGATAGCTGAATTCATTCTCGGAGTCATCATTTGGTGTAAACTTTGTTGATTGCTTCTTGCGCAATTCTCAAGGTCGAACTGTGAAAGATCTCAGGTGCATTGCTTTTGTTTCTAGTCGAGGCCATCACAAAGTAGCAGGAGCCGAGTCACCACCACCTCCACCCACACACCGAAGAAAAAAAAATCAACATTCGCGATTCAAAAGTTTTAGGCTTCCCACAATTTTGCGGTATCTCAGCCTCTGCGGCGTCGAGTATTTCTCATGCATTGTGTGTGCATCAGTTACTAGCACCACTTCCAGACCACTTATTCCAACCCCCCCCCCCCCCCCAACAAACTCTTTTTCCCATGCATTTAAGTTATGCCTACAAAATTAATCTTTGCAGGCCCCGAACTGCACCGTGTATCAACTTGCCCACCACAGCACCACAGAGAAGCGTCCCCGGTCGCATCTCACAGCTTCTCGCAAACTGGCTCTCGTGTTGACGTCTGTTCCACTCAAGCCGAATGGTACTGCAGTCTCGTTGAATTGCTCGTGGAGGACTTGCTTGAATACGCCAAAGAATTCCCCCTTCAAATCCGATGGATCTACTCTGAGTTACAGGTAAGTGCCTCCTTCGGCATACTATTCATTACTTGCAAGAAATGCCCCGAACTGAAGTCGACCAACGCGGTTTGGTGCAATCTCCTCTTCCTTCGCGGCATCTGTCCGTCCATTTGCAAGGGTTCAGACGGTTCGGGAGCCGAGTCTCCGACTCGTGATACAAAGGTAAGTGTCTCCGTATTCTCTCTTATTGGGTGCTCTTCTTCATTAGTCTATCTCTACTTGCCTTCCTATTTTAGACTCTCACAACGGTCGCCAAAAACCTTATTGCCCTAACTAGTCAAAAGCGCAGTGATAATGCTCTTCCCTCTGAGGTCTTCGAGTCCTGCCGATCGAAGTTACTCAATAAATTCGCTCCGCACGTTATGGTAAGTGTTCTACTCTTCTCTGCGAAGTGTAGCCGAGAGCCAAGATTTTAGTCGGTGGTAGCAGATTTCTTGCCTCAAGATATCCCCTGCCCCTTCCTCCCACAGGCGCGAGCAGGAAGGGGAAGATAACTAAGATCTTATTTTTCCTCTTATTTGATGAATTAAGGCGCGAAGATAGACGATGAGAAGGAACGAGAGAGAGAGAGAGAGGGAATTGGCCGTTCATAGCAACTTTGGATCACTCTTTTTTACACGCTTACTCCTAATCCATTTTTCGATTTGATGCTTCTCCGTGGCCTTACCAACTTCTGCTTGGAGTTTGTAATTAAAGGCTTTAATCCGCCTTGCTCACGCAGTTTTCGGTTTTGTGACCCATAGAACGACACGCTTAGCTGTAAAGCTTTTCCTTTTTTACCTGTTTCGTCCTCGTACAAACGTATACCGTTAAAATCGTTTGGGTGGGGTTTAAAAGTAACTGGAGGCCTAGTATCTTAGCTTGGCCGCCATCTCCACCACTCCTCGTCCATTGATAAGATGAGTGTCAACAGATTCAACTTTTGGTTCTGCCCCCTATCTGACAAGCTGGAGTTTTGAGAGCCATTTACAAATTGTTGCATCAGACCTAATAGTAGTATGGAAAAGGCACTCTCTATATGCCGTTTGCCTTCCACAGGAAGGTTTACCTATACAGTATTCCACTTCGCTGCACCTTGCTTAAATATTTCTACATTTTCGTTACATACGTTAGATGTTTTATCCCCTCTTCTTTTGCCTAGTGGCTACCATCTTTCATATTTTTACCGTGGTGCTAAAGAACAATTGTGGTTGAGGGCTGCGCACTGGATACGAGACGATTCAACTCAAAAAAGCGCAAAAAACTTGGTCTTGAGAAACGCGTGGAACCAGAATGAGGTAGGGTAGAATGGCATGAGAGGAGATGTAATGTGAAATGGGGCGGGGTGGAGAGGGATTACCTTGTTCCCATTCTCTTTATCTTTCTCCTTCTCTCTTCCTCACTAGTTCTTTGCTGCCATTCCTCCAAGTCCAAAGCAATGTTTACTTTCTTTGGCGTTGGTGGTTGCCATTCATCTGTGCAAACGCCGCTAAGGAAGTAGGTTGCAAATGCGTGACAGAAACGGATGAGACTAGAGGCAGGTTTATCCCCGATATTAAAGGGGAGGACAGGACGGGACGGAAAGCCGAAGCGTTGATTATTTGAAGTAACTTAGCGTTTTCAAAAGCATTGCTCGCTTGTCCACTTGCAATTGTGGAGGTACAACAGGTACCCACAGGCTGAACCATGCGCTTGTCAAGGAGGTAGGTTTTATCGTTGTTCGGAATCATGGTAGGGATGTAAAAGACCTCCGAGCCATCGCACCACACTGCAAAAGCCTCAAAGTTGTACAGGGATTGAAGAGGCAGTGGCCTTAGAGAGATCATTACACAGGCTTTTTAAGTGCAAACAGCAGAGTCTTATTTGGTTGTTCAATTCAAAACACGTAATGTCGGATGTCTTGTCGTTCGTTTCACAGTCCGCTCGTTTGTTTTGCCACATTGAAAAGGAGGGAGGGCAGAAGTAGTAGGGCGGCAGTAGCTTGTGCACTTGTGCTATCTTGGCGATGACTTACATGTCAACTGGGAAAAGAACCTTTCAAACCTTTGAGGCTGATTTCGCAGTTAGAATAGGATAATAGGATGGATTTCCCATTCCATGTTCATACAGGATACCGAGATGACGTGAGGAAGTGCAGGCTTCCAAATCACCCAACCAACGTGTGCTGTGTGTGTCAAGGCCAGCGTGTTAGCTATCGTCGAAGTATTCAGGCACTGGAGTTAGAACTTTTCGCTGTCGTGATTTCACATATGATTCGAACGATGCCAAGGGGGGAGGAAAACGAGGGGCTATCTCCATTCGCCGCTTATAATAAATGATCTACCGTCTTTATGTTGCCTTTCAGGCCCCCCACGTGATGTAGAAGGGCAACATTCAAATTGAGGAAGCCTTTCATACCTAACGTAGTAGATTTAAATTGTACAACCATTTGTCATCAAGGCGGCGCCAGTGCCATTAGTCCTTCATCATGTGTGGCATTCACGACGTCTCGAGCGTAAGATCAGGTGATGCATTTGTCTGCGGCAAATCTGTCCGCTCCATTTAGCTCCCATTGTAGTTAGGTGGTAGGGCTATGGTGTTAGAGGAGTGTTTTACTTGTTTCCTAAAGAAGTTGTTAGGAAAATGAAGAGAAAAGTACGTCTGTCTTGAATAGAAGCGCTTAATGACGGTGCCATTAAATTACAATCATGTTCCTGTTGTGGAATTAAAGGCTTTAATCCGCCTTGCTCACGCAGTTTTCGGTTTTGTGACCCATAGAACGACACGCTTAGCTGTAAAGCTTTTCCTTTTTTACCTGTTTCGTCCTCGTACAAACGTATACCGTTAAAATCGTTTGGGTGGGGTTTAAAAGTAACTGGAGGCCTAGTATCTTAGCTTGGCCGCCATCTCCACCACTCCTCGTCCATTGATAAGATGAGTGTCAACAGATTCAACTTTTGGTTCTGCCCCCTATCTGACAAGCTGGAGTTTTGAGAGCCATTTACAAATTGTTGCATCAGACCTAATAGTAGTATGGAAAAGGCACTCTCTATATGCCGTTTGCCTTCCACAGGAAGGTTTACCTATACAGTATTCCACTTCGCTGCACCTTGCTTAAATATTTCTACATTTTCGTTACATACGTTAGATGTTTTATCCCCTCTTCTTTTGCCTAGTGGCTACCATCTTTCATATTTTTACCGTGGTGCTAAAGAACAATTGTGGTTGAGGGCTGCGCACTGGATACGAGACGATTCAACTCAAAAAAGCGCAAAAAACTTGGTCTTGAGAAACGCGTGGAACCAGAATGAGGTAGGGTAGAATGGCATGAGAGGAGATGTAATGTGAAATGGGGCGGGGTGGAGAGGGATTACCTTGTTCCCATTCTCTTTATCTTTCTCCTTCTCTCTTCCTCACTAGTTCTTTGCTGCCATTCCTCCAAGTCCAAAGCAATGTTTACTTTCTTTGGCGTTGGTGGTTGCCATTCATCTGTGCAAACGCCGCTAAGGAAGTAGGTTGCAAATGCGTGACAGAAACGGATGAGACTAGAGGCAGGTTTATCCCCGATATTAAAGGGGAGGACAGGACGGGACGGAAAGCCGAAGCGTTGATTATTTGAAGTAACTTAGCGTTTTCAAAAGCATTGCTCGCTTGTCCACTTGCAATTGTGGAGGTACAACAGGTACCCACAGGCTGAACCATGCGCTTGTCAAGGAGGTAGGTTTTATCGTTGTTCGGAATCATGGTAGGGATGTAAAAGACCTCCGAGCCATCGCACCACACTGCAAAAGCCTCAAAGTTGTACAGGGATTGAAGAGGCAGTGGCCTTAGAGAGATCATTACACAGGCTTTTTAAGTGCAAACAGCAGAGTCTTATTTGGTTGTTCAATTCAAAACACGTAATGTCGGATGTCTTGTCGTTCGTTTCACAGTCCGCTCGTTTGTTTTGCCACATTGAAAAGGAGGGAGGGCAGAAGTAGTAGGGCGGCAGTAGCTTGTGCACTTGTGCTATCTTGGCGATGACTTACATGTCAACTGGGAAAAGAACCTTTCAAACCTTTGAGGCTGATTTCGCAGTTAGAATAGGATAATAGGATGGATTTCCCATTCCATGTTCATACAGGATACCGAGATGACGTGAGGAAGTGCAGGCTTCCAAATCACCCAACCAACGTGTGCTGTGTGTGTCAAGGCCAGCGTGTTAGCTATCGTCGAAGTATTCAGGCACTGGAGTTAGAACTTTTCGCTGTCGTGATTTCACATATGATTCGAACGATGCCAAGGGGGGAGGAAAACGAGGGGCTATCTCCATTCGCCGCTTATAATAAATGATCTACCGTCTTTATGTTGCCTTTCAGGCCCCCCACGTGATGTAGAAGGGCAACATTCAAATTGAGGAAGCCTTTCATACCTAACGTAGTAGATTTAAATTGTACAACCATTTGTCATCAAGGCGGCGCCAGTGCCATTAGTCCTTCATCATGTGTGGCATTCACGACGTCTCGAGCGTAAGATCAGGTGATGCATTTGTCTGCGGCAAATCTGTCCGCTCCATTTAGCTCCCATTGTAGTTAGGTGGTAGGGCTATGGTGTTAGAGGAGTGTTTTACTTGTTTCCTAAAGAAGTTGTTAGGAAAATGAAGAGAAAAGTACGTCTGTCTTGAATAGAAGCGCTTAATGACGGTGCCATTAAATTACAATCATGTTCCTGTTGTGG